ACTCCTATTTTAAGAGATTTTGTTAAATAAAACTAAGAATGGATGGAGTACTTCGGATGAGATGACTTGCCCGGTCACCCGGTGTAGTTAAACGCATAACGAAAATTACTCGGACCCTTTTTCTTTAGTAGGGTTTTTAGGGCTTTTCCATCCAGATTTGTTCACTTGGCTCAGCCTCTCAGAAGCAGTCTTCTTCTTCTTCTTCTTTTTCTTCTTCATTTCAATTTGCACTTCGCCATGTGGGCGCTTCGCCGAGCTTCTGCTACCCTCAGGTAATCGCTTGCAATGGATGAACTATCGTTTGATTCATTTCATTTCTCGTACGATGAGTACATTCATATAACCCTAGGTCTATGTATGCATGTATGCATACGACGAGCAATTATAAACAGTGCTTATAGGGAAATGTGAGAATCAGTACGGGGCATTGGATTTCAGATCTATAGGCTGTAACGAACCAAAAATCTAGGAAAACCTTGAAAAATGGAGGTGACAATTTTAAAAAAAATGACCTGAAGTTTGAACAGTGGGAATTTTTATGCCAACTACGCTTCTGAATGCGGTTGAGGAGCTCCAGATGTGAGTATGTGGATCAAATATACATTTTGCTCAATTTATACCTTGCTACTCCAGAAGTTTTCCGGACTTTTAAAGTGTTTCGGCACAAACTCTGAAACCTGTGAAGATGTGGCCATGTGGGCAGTTTAATTGTCTGGACTGAACTTTGATAGCTCTAGCAACTGTATTTTGGGAAGTCTTACTGTTTTTTAATTTGCGTTGATTGCCATTGTTTAATTCATCCAATGGAAATCATCCCTAGTTATGAAGTTGAACTTAAGATGGATGCATGACTAAATTTTCCATGGTATATACTTTAGGATGTTTTAGTGTTTTCTACTCATATTTGTGAAGGTTTTTTAAATTCATCCAATGGCTTGTGGCTCCCGTCCCTAGTTATGACGTCAAATTTTAGTTGGATACATGACCAAATTCTTCATGAGTATAATTACATCATATTTGAATAAAGATTTGTTTATTTGTTATATAAGTTGTTGCTGAGTACAAAGCGGCTAATCCTGCTGGAAATTCTTGGACATTAAGACTGACTAAATTGGTTATTTATTACTTTTGCAGGAAGCAAAGGTTGAGCATAGAAAGTACTCAAATTAGGTTTGGTATACCATGTGTATCAAATAGTTTACCAGAAGACTGTGATGTGGGAGTTCATACTCCTGCTGAATTCGAGAGTCATAAGTTTCTATCACTAAAAAGTTTCCATAAGAAGGCTGGTAGTTCGCCTGCAGCATTATGGGGCACGTGCAGATTCTCCTCACATGCAGAAACAAAGAACAGTGGTCGGGATGGCGATGAGACGGAAGATGGATTTTCGGATCTTGATTCTCTTGCAGCCGAAAATGATATTCTAGATAAAAATGAGTCAGACTCAGAGTCAGACCTATCTGATGAGGCTGTTGATGATTTAGAGCATGGAATTGAGGATTCACAGGATCTGGTGGATACTAAAACCCCATTTGCCAAGAAAAGATTTGGATCAACATTGTTCAAAGAATTTTTGGATGATCCAGCATCAACAGTAGATTCAATCGTGACTAAATGGAAAAACAAAGGGAATGAATTGACTCGCTCGGAACTAACAGAAGTAATGACGGGCTTTCGTAGAAGGCGCATGTTTGGGAAAGCACTGAAGGTAAATTTTCTTCTTCTATGATCTTAATACTAATTGTTATAGTACTTGCTTTTTATGTATGTTTTGCTAAATTTGGTATAGTGCGTTCATCATTATATTCTGTCATATCAAATTTGAATATTTATGAAACATAAGAGGCAGTGCCTAATCTCTTTTATTATACTCTGTATTTTTTTGGGGTTACTGCATTTTCCCATTATTTGCAGTAAAATGAAAAACCAAATTGTTTGTCCTTACCACCCTATTTCTTGTTTTTGACAGCTTTCTGAGTGGATGGAGTCATGTGAGGAGATTGAATTCACTGATAGAGATTTTGCATCTCGTGTTGATTTAATTGCCAAAATGCGTGATTTACATAGGGCAGAGGCCTTTTTGCAGAAGATTCCAAAAGAATTTCGCGGTGAACTTGCATATCGAGCTTTCTTAGCTAACTGTGTTTATGCAGTCAATGTGAAGAAAGCTGAAGAGACATTCAATAAAATGAAGGAACTTGGCTTCCCAATCTCATGCTTTGCTTTCAACCAGCTGCTTCTTCTCTACAAAAGAACTGACAAGAAGAAGATTGCAGATGTTCTCATACTCATGGAAAAACACGGAGTGAAGCCATCTCGGTTTACATACAAAGTATTGATTGATGTCAAGGGGCAAGCCAATGATATAGACGGCATGGAAAAAATCATAGAGACAATGAAAAGCGAGGGAATGGATCCTCCTATCTCCGTAAAAGCATCAATAGCCAAATACTACATTGCCGGTGGTCACAATGAGAAAGCCGAGGCTGTACTTAAGGACATGGAAGGAGGCGACGCGATGGAAACCCGCTTCGCACGCCCATATTTCCTCTCCCTCTATGCTTCCCTTGGCAAAGCTGATGAAGTGAGCAGAGTCTGGCAAGATTGCAAATCCAAACCCAGGGTAGACGAGGCTCTGTCTGCCATTCGTGCTTGGGGAAGTTTGAAGAAGTTCGACGAGGCAGAAGAGGCCTTTGAGGCATTGATAGCCAAGTTCAAAAACTCCAAAAGCCTCACTTCAAAAGCTTACAATGTTTTATTGAGTGTTTATGCAGATAACAAGATGTTGGAGAAGGGAAAGGAGCTTGTGAAGAGGATGGGGCAAAGCCATTGCAATGCAGGGCCATTGATTTGGGACGCGCTTGTTCAGCTCTATTGCAATGCTGGAGAGCTGGAAGGTGCCGATTCCATACTGAAAAACGCTTCAAGTAAGGGCAAACCAAAGCCTCTGTACAGGACCTATTCTACCGTTATGGAGGAATACTCAAAGAAAGGGGACGTCCACAACTGCGAGAAGATATTCTACAGAATGAGACAGGTAGGGTATACCTCCAGGTTTAGGCAGTTCGAAACACTTATAAAGGCATATGTGAATGCCAAGGCTCCTGCCTATGGAATGGCCGAGAGGATGAAGGCGGACAACATTTTCCCAAACAAGGCATTGGCCGGCTTGATTAACCAGGTTGATGCTTTCAGGCAGACGTCCTGGTCGGAGATACTGGACTGATCAGTTTGTTTCCTCTGTGGCAACTGGAAACAACTGCAGAGTTGCAGACTTGTGTTTTTTGATCATTAGTATGTTTTTTTTGATAGACCTTAGGTTATGGATGTTTAATGTGTTTTCTTGTTGTCTTATAATTCCACCATCAGACAATCTGATCTGCGTTTCAATTTCTTTGTTTGAATAACTGCCACCCAGGATTTAATCGGAGAATATTTCTCGTCTCAAAGTATTCGTTATTCGTTCAGTTTGAATATTTCTCTTTCGTTAACATATATATATATGATGGGCTCTTACATCCTCCTCCCCTTCCTAAAACATTTCTCGCCATCTTCATCGAAGACTGCTATCCAAGAACCAGTGCAGAAGATTGAATGAAGGTGGCAGGGGAGTTAGGCGTTATTTTGTTGGGGTTCTAAGAGAACACAGTTTGATTTTTGAGGGTGCAGATTCAGAATGATACTCTGTATTGAATTGATGGTTAAATTTTTCAATAAATTGAATTGAGAAAAGTTCAGTCAAATGTCGTATGTCGTAAAATGCCATATGAATTTAGTTTTAGAATGATACTCTCTTCAAACCTAAAATTTCTTATTTTGATTTTTTTGGTCAAACAATGACACTTTTTTCCTATAAATTGTAAGAAAAAACATACTCATTATAATTAAGTTTGTCTTAGAATATATAATTTTGATATATCAAATTTTATAACATTTATTAATTTAAATTATATTTAATTTGTGAAAAAGAATGTCATTGTTTATCTAAAAAAATCAAAACAAGTGTTTTTTAGATAGGAGGGAGTAATAATTTTTATCTTTTTAATTCTACACCAATTTTCAAAGAATAAGACATTCATATTATCATTATATACATAAGATATGACTCATTATATTAATTTTTCAAATAATGAATTAAAAATAATATTATGCAAACATTGTAACCACAGCATACAACTTAAATTAAGACATTCAAATAACCATTCATGTGGTCAAGTGATTTTCTTTCATGATACATTTTCAAACATATATTTCCATTTATCATTTGATAAATTAATATAATGAGCCATATCTTATTTATAATTTTATACTTAATTATTAAGTAAATTGAATTAAAAATAATTTTAATCAAACATTTTAAGTTATACCGATAAAGTTACTCCCTCCGTCCCAAATTATTTGCCACATGTGTATTTCCAAGGCAAAATATCAAGTTTTTTCAATTCATTTTATTTACATATTGGTATAGAAATATAAAATAAAATTTACATATAAAAAAACTACATGAAAAGTTCTTCGAAATAAGAGGTGTCAAGAATATTTATTTTATCAAATAACCAATGAAAACGTCGAAATAAACAAAAGTTTCCGCGACGGCTGAAAAAACAAATGTGGTGAATAATTAAGGACGGAGGAAGTAGTATTTTTATTATGAATGAAGGTTGTGATATTATCTATGGTATATCACCATGATTCCAACATGGGATGACCCGAGGTCCCTTTGGTACTCCGTTCAAAAAATTGATAGTTCCTATCCCACCTAACTCTCCCGCTAAACCCTCCCCAACTCGACCCCACCCGAACCCACCCCCCTCCAGTCAAATTTTGACTCTAAAGTCAACTACATTATGTGGGGTGCAATAGACGGGAGAATGTTTACCGGGAGGGTTAAATGGGGTAGGAATTATCAAATTTTTGAACGAAGCATCGTAGGGACCCCAAACGGAGTTCATGTCATAGGATGACATTGGGGGTTAATGTCATTGGAACCTTGCACATGGTACATTAAGTCCTATTTTTTATATAGAGTATTATGTATTGTCTAGTTTGACGAAACATACTTTTTTTTATAAAACAAAAACTTTGTGGATGATATTCAAACAAAGGAAAGAAAACCAATACAAAAACCCCACATCAAAGTTTATGTTAAAATGAACAAACCTCTTGCAATGCATCACATGTTCTTATAAATAAATGTAACCCTCACTCACCCAACCACTGATGCCAACTTGAAGCAGACCCTTGGTAAGTAGTGGGGTTTTGCAAGGAATTCCAATAATGCTTGTCCTCCTAGTTTTTCACTTCTCAGTTTCTCACCAAAAAGTGTGTTTCTAATTGAACTGGTCTAAATGTCAAGCTGGTCAAAGCTGATCTTGCTAGCAGAATTTCGTATTAGTTCCTTCCGATAATCAACCTGTTTCACCAAAAAGAAGAGATTGTGTCAATGTGTCATGGGACAAACACATCTACCCTTGAACAAACTTTAGGGACAAGAGTGACTCTCAAGCTTGGCCGCAGATCACCCATATTATAGTAAGTTATACAAAGTTACCGGAGTAGAATAAATAAAGGTAGTCATAAAAAAAAGAGGTAGGTCTAGCATATAGTATTAGACCTCATAATTTTTTCCATACATTTACTACATGTATATATGATATTGTAATTGCACTTCGTAAATTTTTTAAGTACATATGTTTGGGCTTAAGCTTTGAGAGGCTTGCCCAAAGCCCGGGTGACTTATTAAACGAGCTTTTCTTTTTGTCCAAGGCCAGAACTTCAAGCCTTATTTTTTCTCAGAGCCCACTTAAAAATGGACGGGTCTTTGGGCTTGGGTGGGCAACCTGTCCCATGTCCATCTCTATGCCTCACATCCCACTGGTGGGACTTAACTGAGCAGGTTGTTTTTGCATTAGAATTAAGCCAGGACTGGTATAAAATTAAATTTGGAGTATATGGCTTCACTCAAATAGTTCATGAGTATTTTTTGTGACAAAATGTAAGTTGGGTGCGGGGAGGGAGGGGCAGATATGTGCTTCTTGGCATTTGCGAAACAGAGTAATTCTTCACTTACCCGAGTACCCATTAATGAGGAAAAAACAACATTTGCCTCAGCAGCATCTCCAACCACAAGTTGCTTCAACAGCCTAGTCTCTGGGTTCAAGGTTGTTTCCCATAACTGAGCAGGCATCATCTCTCCTAATCCTGTGTTTTGTTTAGACAAACAGGTAACAACAACAACAACAACCAAGCCTTATCCCACTAGGTGGGGTAAGCTACATGGATCAAACAATGCCATTGCGCCCTATCAAGTACCAGGTAATAACAGACTACACAAAGTTAACAAGGCAGACCCAGGCTCTCACATAAATGTATGTAAACGAGGGCTTTATAAAAAAAATGAATAATAGCTAGCAATAATTGATAACACGTATAAGACTTGTCAAAGTTGAAATTCGGGGAGCAGAAGAGGAATCTCACCTTTAAATCTCTGGATGTTATATGATGCATTTGAGGGGAAAGAACCCTGGAGTTTCTTAAGCTCTGCATCATCAAAGCAGTAGTGCGATTGTTTTCCCCGTTCAACCTAAACGAATCAAGAACAAGGACGAATTACAACATAGACATATTTCAGGACAGATTTTTTTTGGGTAGGTGGGAACCCAACTGAGATCAAACCTTATATAGAGGAGGAACACCCACATAAATGCACCCCTCATCAAACAAAGCCCTCTGCAACCAATAAAAGAGTGTGATCAGGGTATTTTTAACAAGCCTTGTATATAATTCACTCGAGGGAATTTCACACTTCTAATCCCCCAATTCCTTGGCTTTATGTAATAATTTTCAATTTTTGTAAATTTTGTCCCTCAATTGTTATATTTTAGATATATTTAGTCTTTCCTGCTACCACAATAGGGTTGATGGGAGCATTATGGGCATTCAACTCTGCAGATACCACTAAATGCTAGTTTTAACGGGAGGGACTATTACCTCAATATGAAAGACAGAAGTCTTACATTGCATAATCTCAAATATCTGGGGGGGGGATTCTAAAATGGTGGTTTCATTCTCTTAAATAATTTCTTTGACGAATCATCTTTTGATCATTACATGCAACGAAAGACACGTGCCTGATATCGAAAGAAAAAAGTCAATAACAGGGTGCGAATATGAGCGCCATCCACATCAGCATCAGTCAAAATGATAATTTTATGATAACGCAGAGCTTCCTTTTTAAAATCCTCTCCCTGAAATGAGAAAAAAATAATCCTAAAATAAAGTCACACTTGAAAAATGAAGCGCTCAATTACGTGCCCATCAAAAATTGAGAAGAAATAGAATAAATCTTTAAAAAATGAGCACCTTCACCCCAAGTCCTAGGGCAAGAATGAGATTCTGGATCTCTTCATTTTTGTACATGGAAGCCTCGTCCTTCCTTTCAACATTCAAAATTTTACCTCGTAAAGGAAGAATCGCCTGCACAAACACATGACTTAAGATTTTGATTCCTCGAGTTACAATGTATTCTACAAAACAGCTTTTATTAGACAGCCCGTCATGTTAGCAAGAGATGCAACAACCCCAGTTAGAAGAGTGGAGAGCATTTCAGTTGGCGAGGGAGGGGGGGTTTGGAAGTTGAGCAGTTGTCAGTTGAGGTTGGTTTTGGCAGCGCAAAATGAATCCTTGGAGAGGCCAAATAAGTGTTGTTGAGTCCTCTTGGGATTTGTGGGTGAGCGTTGGGGGACACTCTTAGCTCACTTTTGATTTGGTTTTGTTGAGTAAACATTGCCGTGTTCTTTGCTTTCATGGTTTCAATTTATAATAAAAGACCTTTTTTTAGTATGGTTATACACGAGTCACACCATGTATCACTGTTTGAAGAGGCCCTCTCAGAAATGACCTCTCAGATCCGTGGGGTGGGATATACTAGGTACGATGGTTTGGTTTGGTCTAGTAGAAAATTGTCACTTAAGACATCTTGAAATTTAAACCATCAATCACCTATTTGTTTAGTGCATGAACTTTCATATAAAAAAATAAAAGAACATTATTAATTATTTAATTGCATACTTGGTGGTTCATTCAACCACACAATTTACGCAATAACATACTCCCTCCGCCCCAATTTATTTTTCCCATTTAGAAGAACGTGCAAAATCTCAGATTTTTTAAAATGATTTTATTTACAAATTGGGTATAGAAATAAAAGGTACAAATTACACTAAAATACATCAAAAGTTCTACAAAACAAGAGGTTACAATAATATTTTGTTTTATCAAATGATCAATGAAAACAGGCTTACAAACATAAGTTATCGAGAGGCTGTAATAGTAACTGGGAAGATTAATTTGGGGCAAAAGGAGTATCTTAAGGCTGGTGACGCTTTATTATTTATCCTATGTGGTTTCATACCAAGCTTCAACTAGAATACTGTTTGGAAAGATATATAGAAAGAATAGTCACCTGAAACCGCCGATCACGGCCTTGTTTAGCACTTCCACCGGCCGAATCCCCTTCCACAATAAATATCTCTGACAAATTTTGATAAAAAGAAACAATTCTTTGTTGCATGTAATACTGGAGGATAACGCCATGAAGTTTTAGAATATGGTAATTGGTAAATACTCCCTAAATTATTAATTAAACTTCCCACCTTTTACCTGTACCAAAATAATCCAACCATTTCCTTTTCCTTTTGAAGTAAATCATTATATGGTTCATATTGCTTCTATCTTATCCAAATAAACCTCAGCCAGGCACTTCTTGTTTTCTTATCTGTGGCTTGTCAAAGTGTGCTTTTATTTAGGGATGGAGTGACTAGTGAGTATAATAAATTTGTAATGCAAAAAAACCAATTAACCTCAAAAACAACTGGGATATAAGCTTTGCACAAATAGTATAGGTACTCCAAGCTGAAAGTACTGTGAAGACTCCGTACAATATAGTGACCACCCCGCAATAAGCAAAAGTGGTGACGTATTTTCCACCTATTCATTCCTTCGTAATGAAAAATTTATCAGAATATACTAGGCAAAATTTCAGGCGCTGGGTCTTCAAGATATAAACACTGTTTTTGATGGATATTATTCCTATTATGTATTGTTTATCTTCAATTGAAAGACAACAAAAGATATGAGATAATAACAGGGCATGAGCCTGATGTTAATACGGAGTACTTTTTAAGTACTCTTAACATCTATGCATAAATGACACTGATCAAAGCCAAGCAAAGCAATTTATTGAGCCAAAGCTGGAAGATAGTGCAACACATTTCCACACTGAAGTTCAGAATATAACCCAATGAGCCAGGGATAGAAATTTTGCAAAAAAAGGTCAGTATTAAATTTTAAGCTTTGTTATCAATACTCAATTCCCAATTTCACAATCTTCAGAGGTCCGTCCAGTAGAAGTGAAAAGTTAAAAGAGTCATTACTAACAAGTAACGATGTTTCCGTTTTGGCAAATAATGAACTAAATCAAATGGCACTTTAAACTTTCTTTGCTTCTTACTTTCTATGAAGTTTTTGGGTAGTAAATGCAAAAATGCATCTTGTCCATTGGAAACAATCTATACTTTTACAGGACTAAGATTGTAAGAGCATGTTATCTTCGTCCTAACTAATTGGAACTGATTTGATTTTATTAGGGTATGTTTGGATTGGGGTAGGTAAAATTTTATTACGTAGGTAATAAAAGGTAGGTAAAGTGAGGTAATAAATTAAAAATTGTGTTTGGATATTTATTAGGTAAAGTAAGGTATGTAAAATAATAAAATTAGTACCACATTAAAAGATTGAATTCAATCGATTAGTTAGTTCAACTCTAGAGCTTATATACCGATTATTTTCTCTTGGATTTTCCGATGTGGGATGTACTCTAACACTCCCCCTCAAGTGGACAACCGGGCCATTTTGAATCTAACCGATTGACCACTTGCAAATGAACTCCCATTCCCTTGACTTTTTTTTTTGAGTGCCAACACCTAAAGGACCACAAGCCACTGGGTATGGACTTCCAGACGTGCAATCGGGTCAAACAGGCCACAGGCCGTTGGGTACATACTCCATACGGACAACTGGGCTAAAGACAAACGGGCCGCTAGGAATGAACGTCTAGACGGACAACTTGACAAACGAGGTGGGCCAAAACCTGCTCTGATACCATGATAGAATTTAGGATGGGTATGGACAACTGGATTGGGAAATAAGACACTTGAGATGAACCACATTAAAAGATTGAATTCAATCGATTAGTTAGTTCAACTCTAGAGCTTATATACCGATTATTTTCTCTTGGATTTTCCGATGTGGGATGTACTCTAACAATATCCTTGTCTGAATATTTATTAGATAAAATCAAAAAAGAGAGAAGAAAATGAAGAAAACAGCAAAAAACGAAAAAAATAGAAAAACAGCAAAAAACGAAAAAAAGGAAAAAAACAGACCGCCGATTTGGAACCAAAGGAAGAAAAAAACACCAGGCGCTAGGAATTAGAATTGGAATCACCTGCGCTAGAAAAAAAGGAAGAAAAAAAGTGCGGCGCTAGAATTGGAATCACCGGCTCTGGAATTTGAAAAAAAACAAACCTGGGATCTGTTGATTGTAGAGATCTGCGTGGGAGAGTTGCAGCACTAGAGATGAAGAATTGAGCAGCAGAGGGTTGAATCCGTTGAAGAAGAAGAGGTGTGATATAGGAGAAGGGAAAAGTGGAAAAAAATAGTTTTACCTCCTTTGACCGCCGATTCGGCGGTATCCCATTTTTCACTGTTCAGAGGTAACGTTACCTCCTTCCACCTCCTCTTACCTATCTTCCATTTCACTCCAAACAAGGTAACTTCTCAATTTGACCTTACCCTACCTCTCCTACCTCCAACCAAACACAGCGTTAAGGTCTAGTCAGATCTCTGACTCTAGTTATATTTAAAGTTGTTTATGATCTGAAATGTTCCGATTCCAAAAGGAATAAATAATACGGAGTAAGTAATTAGAATAAGTTGAAGAGAACATGCTCTAAGACTGCACATAACTTGACCCCCCTAAGACCCCAACATAGTTGGGTTTATTTTGGGTTGTTTTTGTTGTGAATGTTCAGGTGGAGCTAAGATGCATTCCCTAAAAACTGCAGAGTCCCTCCGTCATTAAAACAAGTTCCCACCAACCATCGTAAACCACAATGGAAACCGCCGTATTCCCTCAATCGATATTTAAACTTTACACTTTCTTTTTTGTTAATCCCAAAATACTCTCACATCTCCTTTGATGGATAGTAACATGTGGCTTACAACATTTCTCTCTTCTAAACAAATTTCAACCACACACTTCACTTCTTAACATTTTTATTAAGCTGTGTCCCTGGTCAAACCAGGAACTGAAATAGGGACTGAGGGAATGACATCTAACCATACATACCAGATTCCTCTGGATCTGTTGAAGAACAATCAGCAAGCTTCCCTGGAAGAGATGATGACTTTAAGACACTTTTTTGTCTTACCAACTCCCTGGCCCTCTTGGCTGCAAGGGCTGCCTAAATTCCAAAAATATGAGCTATAAAGATGTAATGCATATAAGCAAGCAAGAACCTAAACCAGCTGCATGCCTAAAATTACAGAGAACTAATATGGCATATTTTAACAGGTAAGGTACCTTCAAGGCATTAAGAGACTTGGAGAGAATTGAATCAAGTACCCCAGGATGCAACTCCAAGTATTCAGTAAGATACTCTTGAATAATTTGTTCAACAGCCTTTCGTACCTCTGGATTTCCCAACCTTGTCTTCAAACAAACAAACAAAAAGATAAACAAAATAGAAATGATTTATTAAATTGGAACCAAAACTATTTGCAGACAAACCCCCAGACTAGGTCAAGGCTCATCTCGTGAATACCTTAGTCTGTCCTTCAAATTCAGGATTTGATACTTTGACTGAAATCACACAAGTCAATCCCTCTCTCACATGCTCACCACTTAAGCTAATATCCTTTTCCTGGAGAAAAAGGACAAAGAGTTCATTGTTTTTTAGATCAAATAAGCACAGAGAGCTCTTCTAAGTACTAGTTTACTAGAAAAAGAGCATGATTTCAAATTCATTTCAAAGGTAATCCAAGATATGAATTGAGATGTGATCAAATTAGGGTACACCCCTCAAGAAAATAGTATAATAGATGTAGCATAATGTGGTGTTTATAAACAAAAGATAATGAGGATGTGAATTCAGATTTAAAAATGAGGGTTGAGGGCAGAAAAATTTCCTTTCAATTTGCTTCATGAGTATCAATATGGACACACAACCACTGTTGTTTTATAAAAGAGAACATTTAATAGTGCACTAGTCTATTCTATATTTCTAGCATTCTGTGTTTTTCAATATTTTTTTATTTTTGATAAAGAAGCTATAAAAAGTCAAAAGTATTCACCAGAAGACAAAGCAATCACAATTCACAAAACTTCCATACAAGCAAAATAATATAGTAAAAGACTTAGTTGTAGGTATGGAGTTCAATGTTCATGTTTCCTTACAAGCAAAAGAATATAGTTCAATCATGTTTCCTGTTCCATTAAGTCTATTGATATGGAGTCACCCTACACTGACACCAAGTTCGCCACCCCCAGTCTCACAGAGACACGTACAATCTGTACTCTCTGTGTTGACTGTGTGTGACTGTCTTTTGCATCTGTGAGACAGTGTGGTGAAACTTGGTGTCATGAATGGTGTTGTCAAAGTAAAATTACTCTTAAATAAGAGGTCTAAACATACTACCTCTAAATCGATTAGAAGGGTAAGTGTGAAAATATCATTTCAGATATCTGGATCACCTACACTCCAGTTTTGAAATGTTGGTTTATCTAATTCCAATATTACAATGGCTACGTCTACAAAATTAGTATTCAGCTGATCCCTAGATTGTGTATGTAAGTGCATACACAACTAAAACTAGGTTGACTAAAACATAACTAAATTCTAATGTTTAGCCAAATTACAAATGAATTAGAATTAAGTTTTCATGTTTCTTGGCAAACATAAGAGAACGAGTATGGTTTACTTTATATGTCTTTGACTTTTTCGCAAGGCTGTTGAGTGTTCTTGTTAATGAGGCTTTTAGACCATCTATATGAGTGCCACCATCGATTGTTCGTATGCTATTAGCATATCCAAGCATTGTATCTGAGTAGGCATCTGAACACCTAAATAGACAATACAGAAAAATGGATTTAAAACATCAAATTTTAACTTGCACTTTAAAGTAGTTACTACTTAAGAATCTCAAAAATCAGTTACAGCATAAATAAGATTCTTTTTGCCGACTTATGGTGAACTTTAGTGTAAAAAAGCTCAGAAAAAAATGCAAAGACGTAAACTGAAGCAAAAGGCTAAAATTAATACCACTGAAGAGCTGCATCAATCAATATGCCATCTACTTCTCTTCTGAAGGCCACCACATCGTGCAAAGGTGTCTGAACCAGAAATCTGTTAGTGGTTACAAATGTTTGGAGAAAATAGAAAGAAAGTTTCAGCAGTTAACATTCACATCTGTAAAGGATATTATGAAGAAATTCTCAATAGCTGACACTTGACAGTTTGACTAAAATCAGCTCTAGACCTAGCAAAAATTGACCGGAGGCAATAATATTTTGTCATCTTGGAAAATGGAAATGTTTTTCTGCAATTATCATAAAGCAACATGATGTTCATGTTGATTTTAGAACATTAATCTTGTAATGGACATGACTACCACTGTGGGAGTGTTTTGGATTGATTTTGCAAAATCAATAAGTAGAACATCAATCATGTAGGTACTTGCTTTAAGAAATAGAGATTTAATTGTTTAAAATATGAAATATTAAGTTAGCTACTTGCTTTTGGTATGACTGTATGATGCTTAAGCTGCTTTAAATAAGGAATAAGAAAAAACTTGTTTTTGCTTACGAAACACCAAAATTGTAAAAGCAGATTAAACTAACAAACAACAAAAACAAAGACTTATCCCACTAGGTGGGGTTGGCTCAGCTTAAACTTACCAATAAGCAAAAATCTAAGTATTCAAAAACACATTCAATGTGAATTGCCTCTTATGATTTGTTAAATGTAGGTGGAAAGCATAGTTGTTATGGCGACTAGGCGAGGCCGGGCGCTAGACCACCTTCTGGGTGCCTGGCGATTAGGCGCCCGCCTAGGCGTCCCTTGGGCGAGTGGGATATGGCAATATTGATAATTTTTTAGGTACTAATGTAAACGCGCATAGTATGAAATAAATAAATAAAAAGATTAAATAGTACAGCGATACTAAAAAAAATAAGTACCAAAATGTTGATAATATATAAATACTAAATAGGGAGTATAAAAAATTCAAAGCAGCAACTCATCAAGTCAGATACCAAACGAGATGAAGACAAAAAACCCTTAGGTATATAATAGTACGAGTAATTAGATTAATTGCAATCTTCAGAATAGTTCTCAGTACAGTACCCCCACTACTCCATCTCCATAAATGAATTAAGGGCAGATACAGTACCCACAAAGTCTTGTTTCTTTTTACTTTTAGAGTAGTTCCCAGTGTACAGTACCCCCACTACCCATTTATGTTTTCTAAAAAAAATTCGGCGTATAAACTACCCGACCCGACCCACAAAGTCTTGTTCCTTTTACTTTTTAATGGGTCGTAACCCGCAAGTAGCCGGCAATTACTCGTAAATCTTTTAATTAAGCCAACGAGAAGCAAATTCACTTCCTTGCCCGACCCGCATTGCATTTTCAAAGATCGAATGTGCCTGAATTGGACGATTATACGATTCGACTCCATGTTTTTACCATATCTTCAATTTCCGGATCTTTGCCGCGATTCAGATCGTTCCAGGTAACGTGCCGCGTTTTAATCGATGACAAGTCAAATTCTAGGCGGAAAAAGCTAGGCGACCAATCTGGCGTCCCCAATATCTCGCCCAGACGCCTAGGCGTCGCCTAGGCGACGCCTTGATAACTTTGGTGGAAAGAACCTTTTATGATGATCGTTTGAAATTTAATGTCATTATTCCTTCATAAGAAGGTTGCAACAAGAAAGGCATAATGCGTAAAACTGTCAGTTGCCACTGATTTTCAGAAGATCAAAAGACCGTAAAAGCTTCATGCCACCAACCCTTGACATCGTTGGGATTAGGGTGCAGGAAGATGTTTTGGGTCACAAATTGACCAGAAACAAAATAACTTTCCACATTCATCATTATTCATAACCACAATGTGGTGAGCACAAGAGATCCATAGACCATAATAATAAATGCACAAGGATGATGCAAAAAGTAGAACAGTACCCATGAAACAATAAAAAATAATATAGCGAATAAGCAAACCTTATCTGCATTCAACCATTTCACGTACTCAACCAAACCTCCAGCATAATAGTACTCACTGCATTGGTTCTTTTCTGTGTCTATATCCTCTTCCTTTAGGGCAATAGTTAGCTGCAAACCAGAGTAAATGGTAAGTGAAAATATACAAAAGCAAACATCAGCATGTGAAGTTCTTCCCATGCATAATAAGCTAATTCAGAACATTTAATTGGATAGCATAGCATAAATTCATATTGCGGAATAATTGATACAAAATCATCTACCACAGTTCAGCAAAATATAATTTACTTAAACCTTGAGTTTAGATCAAGAAATAGCAGAAGGAAAACTATGTATCCTAAAAATAAGAATTCCCTTAATGATGCAATATTAGCTACTCGCACATTCAAAGAATGCAGTTCGCTTTTGAATTAATCATGCACAAAAATACCTCAGGGTTAAGAAATGCAAGCTCCCTAATTCGTCCAGCCAGAGTATTGTAGTCAAACTCTATTTCAGTTGTGAACACTGGATAAACAGTCAAGTTAGAAAAACATGTCAACAGCTCAAAGCCTCAAACACTAAAATCTGACAAATTGCAAAAGAAAAAAGAGAAAATATAGTTGTTTTTAAAAAAACACTAGCCACTACTGAAATTATGAAGGTACACCACTGCACCAAACAATCCCCCCTCCACACAAATATCATACACATATTTTTGCAATTTATCAAAAAATAAATGTATGATAAGCCATACTAAGATGAAGCAGAAGTGCAAATCAAAGACCCCAAGAAAGAAAAAGGAAAATATTATTATTATTATTATTATTATTATCATTATTATTATTATTAACAACCTTCTTTATCAGGCCAAAATCGTATGGATGTCCCTCGACGTTCTTTCTGCTCAGCTGATAACTCATGAAAAATCAAATCTGTTGTAGGCTTCCCACGGGAATACTTCTGTTTGTGTTCCATACCATCACGCCAGACAACTACCTCTAACTCCTGTGAGAAGATTTAATGCTCAATTAAGGTTATTGATGGAGTTTCTTAATGTCTAACAAGAGCATATAAGAACAGTGGTTAGGGTGCCCAGTAACTAAGTCAAGTAGTCAACTACAAGCAAACAGCTTTATTGAATGGAGCTTTTTATCGGACTTAACAGAAATAAGCACTTAAGATTATCACCAAAAGCAACTATATTTTTTATCAAGGAGAGAGAACTCCTACCAATTAAAACCTATTTACTCTCTTTGAAAATTACAATGTTCAAGCCTTAAAATATTCGCATGTCCACTTAAACATTTGGTTTAGAACCCTAGTAAAGCTTTTATATATTAAATAATATAATTGAGAACACCTAAAACGCCTAAGAAGAAACTATGTTTGAGTTAGCTTACTTAGGTATAAAAAGGGAAGTGTCTACAATATATATGAAGTTGACAAAGTAGAGAACAATAAATGCAGCACATGCTCTTAAGAAAATATATGAAGAATTATGTAAAATCTTTGTCATTCTTTCAAATTAAATTTCACTTCTATCATTTTTAGCATTTCAATAACGATTCTAGAAGTGCTTCCTGGTATTAAATAAAACTAAATGTGTTCATGCTATTCCTTCTATTTTCATGTATTCAAGATCTGATTTTAAAATCTTTATCAAAGTTTACCGTTAATATTTACCAGTATTTATCACACTCTTGAACATTTAAATATGTACTTTCGCATGATTTCATATTCTTTGGCATCACTTCAATAATCTGAAGGTCCCATACTATGTTGGAACACGCTTTTCAACAGTTATTAAATGCAAGCCCGCATTAAGGATAAATAAGATCATGTTAATCATTGTGACCTATGAAGCCTTGAAGGATATGCACAGAGGCTAATGAAACCCTTCATTAAAGAAGCAGTAAAAACCCCTCTGACTTGAAATTGACCGCCAAAGTGAGTTGAAAATATTCCAGCGAGAGATATGCATGTATGAATATAAGATACGATAGACAATTACCTCCGACAGTGCGTTAACAACAGAAAGGCCTACACCATGCAATCCACCTGAGACAGTATACCCACTACTTGTGCCTCCAAACTTGCCACCTGCATGCAGAACCTGCACCATTTCTCATTTGTATAAACTGGTATAATTGTATAAATGATTGCTAATATTAGTATATGACATTTACTTCGATGATTGAATAATCTCTTAATCCAAACACTAACAGAAAAATGAAGTGTAATCAAGTCATAGAAGGAAGGATGCCATCTGGGTCCATAACTTAATTCAAAGAACACACTTAATCATATGAAATAAACAACAGTTTATCACAAGATCAACATTAATTTTTAAAATGGGAATTAAGAAGACAATAATTTCAATATTCCTTTAATGACATGCCAAAAAACTGGGTCCCACCACTTCGTCTTCACTTTTCAGCGGTCTCTCGCCAATATCATTAAACAAGAATTTTAATGATGGCCAACTCTGTGTTTCTTTTTTTTATTTTTAACACAATGCTTGTTGGTATCTCAGTTGGCCATCACATAGATCAAATTCATGAGCTTATTATCCTAGGTCGGAACAAGTTAAGAGGATCCCATTATCCCATGAATCCCCCCCCCCCCGGCAACATGGGCTTTGGCATCATGAGCACCCACCCCAGAGGAAGGCACGCTTGACAGGCTATTAGCTCAGTGGTAAAGCGTTCTACACTGAAATTCTATTGTCTTAAATTAAAGGTGGAATTCCACAGCCGTATAAAACCCACCATCCACTAGAAAGTTCCCTCACGATAGTGAAGAGCGATTTTTGTAGTTGGTGAAAATTTACCGTCAAAACAGTCTCCAGAGCAGATTTTTTGGTCGTTGGATGCAAGTCAGTTGGAATCTGGAAAGCAAAGTAAAACATGTGAAGACATAACAGCAATAAAAAAAGTTGGTATGCATCATCTTACTCACTTAGCTATAAGCAATTAACACACCCACTCAATTATTTATCTTATCGGCATACTCAAGTTGAAATGAGAGTGCATATGAGAACTAACTCGACTTATTTTGGATCAAACTAAAGAGGACATCAAATATTTGCTACATATAAGTTGCAGTACCAGACCAATAATCCTTCAAAAAAGCCTCAATATTCCAATGAGAAGGTGTGTAATCAAGTTATGCAGGGTATTTTATGGTGCCACTCAATCACAAAAGAGCCTAGAAAATTTGAGCTTCAGCTAGATCTGACACTTGCTCATTTCACATCTTTCTTATGACGAGATGTCACACATTATTCTCTAGAGAAAAATAAACAGTTCATACCCCGCGACCGTTGTCAGTGATGCTCACTGAATTGTCGAGATGCAGGACGACTTCTATTCTTGAAGCACAGCCTGCTTGAGCTTCGTCTACAGCATTATCCAATATTTCATATACCTCAAGTGGTGGAATGAATAATAAATAAAATAATTATTACACTCTGTCCAGTCAATATAAATCAGTGAATAACAAACAAAAAGAAAACATAGCATACCAGATGATGCAAGCCACGAGTTCCAGTGCTGCCGATATACATTCCAGGCCTTTTTCGTACGGGATCTAAACCTTGCAACACCTGAAAGGAAATTAGATTCTGACATGTTGATACAACAGAGAATCTTACACCATTCTGAAAGGGAGTTTACATTTGAACAATGTTCAAATGGGTACTGAAACAACATGGACATATAAAGATCTTTCTTTTTTTAATTTCTCTTTGTCCTGGCTTCTCAGCCTAAAAGATAAAACTGTTACAGAAGAAAGAAACTCTCTTGATAAGACCCGTGAATATGAAAAACTTTACTCATAAGAAGCATTAGAGTGAAAATATCAGTTTGTTCGCAGCACATAACAGCACATACACTATCCTAGCTGAAACTTCACTGCTACAGTTTTATATATATATATATATATATATATATATATATATATATGGCAATATTTTTATCTACCATAATCCCCACAAGCAATTAGTATAAAGCCCACCTGGCTTGATAATTTATACCATCCCAGCCTAGTCTAAGGTTCCGTTCGTGGAGTTACTATTTTTGGTGAACTGTGTGAATGTGTTGAATTCATTGAAATGTGTTGACTACCTAAAAGGGATAGTTTATAAGTAAAGTGAAGGAAAAAAACAAGCATAACCAAAGAGAGAGTGAGAACCATCGTTTTTCCTCCATTTCAGTATGTTGAACCAGAGGGTAACGTCTGGCGGAAAAATAATGGTCTATCAGCATTTTGTGACTTCACCACAGGAAGTAAAGGGAGCTATATTTTAAGAGCAGTATTCATATCCAGTGTTAAATTGCATCTTTTGGCTTAGTATATAGAACCTAACAGAAAAAACTAACCACATCCTAGGACTAAATTATTTAATAATCTACCCCTGCTCTGGGGCGAGTGAAATCAGAGATGTGAGCAGAACCTACCTCTATCCGGAGTAGAGTGACTGCTTGCAGTAAGACCCCGGAAAATGGGGAAATGGGAGCTTTAGAGGAAGTAAAACACTGGATATGTTTGAAAATTTTGATGATATTTGAAGGAGACGATTAGGTATCCAAATGTGAAAGGTGGTGTGAATATTGAATAGTATAGACGTATAGTTGAAAAATAGTTTGGGCTATAGTTCCAAGAAATACAGTAGCATAATAACAACATCAAAGAGGAATTATAACAAACGTGGTTAAGTAAACACAGAACTAGCTAACACATACAATGCGCCCCTAACACCTAATCATTAATTTCATCTTAATTTTCACAATTAAAAATTACAAAAGTAAAACACATGGAGACAGCGAGACATTAAAAACTTATGAGACCATTTGTCACCTGAATCTGTTCAGACCCATAGTCATTTGAAGCACTTCTTTCTTGAAGAGCTTCCATAACAAGTCTTGATGACATAAATGATTTAGTCCATCGAACACAACTAAGTAAATTCCTATTCAGATGCCGTCTCAAGCTACCATTTCTCCTGAAACAATAGCACACCATTTCACAAACAATCCACACACTGCCCCTAGAGAAATCCCCTCTTTAAATCTTTCCCAAGTTGCACACACTTTTTAAGAGCGCTCTATAGGCCATAATAATGGCCAAAATACGTCGCATAACCCCATAAGATATTTTCTTGTACGAATAAATTATCTGTGAGGTGTCCAACAATATAGCACTTGACTAATCCAAAATTGACAGAAATACAAGATTAAATACAAATTTAAAAAATCAGAAAAAGAATGCACAAACACCTGAATTTGGTTAGTAGAAGTGATGGAGGAGAAGTAGACGAAGAGGAAGAGAGAAACGGGGCGCTAGCGTGACATTGGGTGAGAAAACAGCGATTGGCCATGAGTAGAATGGATTTTCTGAGCATTGAAGATGAAGAAGAAGCTCTCAACAGAGCCATTCATTCAATCTCGGCTCCGAATTCACAGATTTAAAACAATGAAGCTTTATTTGGTAGCTTCAGCTCTGTGAAATTTGTGTTTGGAGGGAGAAGATAAAAGTCAGGATTTACTTCCCCCACGCATAAACCCTATCGTCAACTCTTTTTGAGACTTCAATTTCACTGAATTTTTTAAAGAAATTTAATTATTACTTTCTTGTATAAAATGTGATTTTTTTTCCTTCAAAAAAAAATTTAAATTAAAAATGCATCACATTAAATGCTAATAATAAAAATAGTTGTTCGAAAAACAAATCTTTAAATATCATTTTTGTACTCTATTTTTTCACGGACAACCAAACATCATTATTTTATGCTACATATTGAATAAGCAACACAATTTTTATTTAATTAATGATCATGTTCATCACGCAAACAGATTATCTTATAAAAATATGAGTACTCTTGAAGTAAATCATATCAAAAAAATTGAATGTAACAGACCTTACTTAAATACCCACCCGCACTTATACATTTTTAACCTATAATAAGTACAAACAAAGCATATATTAGCCCGACTCACATCGTTAATATTTTTTTACAAAATTTAAAAGTATAATAGTTTTTTTATAATATAGTAATGCCTCATATATTAGATATTTGATACAATGTATAATAACTCGGATGAATGTACTATCCAATGATGGACTGATATCTTAAATGTATTTTGTTGGATAATGTTGTTATTATTTACTTGATTATTATTATTATCAATGTGCGATAAATAACAATAAAAATGTATTCATTTGATTAAATATATGTATAAATAATACATCTATTTTTATTAATTGATTTATGTGTCTGTATATATGTTTTGGTTGGAAGTTAGTTGTCCGATGTTGATTGCTTGTGTCAGCGGCTCTAATTAGCTCATGAGTTTAGATGTTTAAACCGCTTGGATATGTTGGCTGATTATTAAAAATATTTGGTAAATTTAGTTGTTTGCAACTAGCTATTTCAAAATTTAAATAGTAATTCAAGGTTATATTATGATATGCGACCTCTATGGTACTCCGTTGATAAAATTGAGTTACCCCTAAACCCCTGCTTCCATGCACCGCACGCTGGCACCTCATGCCCTTAAATTGTCTTAGCAGTGCCAAATCAATAATTTAAGGAGGGGATGCTAGAATGGGGTGGAATTATCAAATTTAGGTACTCATACCATAGGTGACCTATAATATGCCAAGTTCATTTAACAATGGCCCTATTTGGAATTTAGTGGTCAGCGGTTCATATAGCTGTTCTTGTTGGCTGGTTTGAACGACGGGTTGAGTTGGATGATTTGACCAATCGATTATGTTGGCTGTTGATAAAAAATGTTTGGCAAACTTAGCTTCTTCAAAATAGCTTTTATAAATTGAATTTAATTTAATGAAATTTTCACCTATATAATTATATGGTATAACATGCTTAGGAATATATATTCTTTCTTTTCTCAAATAAAATTTTAAGCTATATTGTTCTAAAGTCATTATGATTTTATTTATTTATGTGTTTTTATCAATCAATTGATAGAATGATATAATTATACGGAGTATTATATTTTGTTTCAAAAAACTTTTGATGTAGATCTTAAATTTATAATTTGTTTATTTCTACACCAAAATCTTAAAAATATCAGATTTTTTTCCTCGCAAATTGCTTCATGAAATTTACATGGGGAAAGACTATTTATTATTTATTTTTTTATTTATATACATATTATTTACTTATTTATTTTCTTAGTTATTATTTTATTTACTTATTTATTTATCAACTTTTTATTTATATATTTATTTGAATACCATTTTTTATTTAATTACGCAATAAATAATAATTTTTTTATTCACAAAAATTACATACAATAACAAATAATAAAAAAATCTATTTTCCAACAGCCAAACCGAAATGCTATCCCTGTAGCTTTTTAAATTTTGGCTTTTCGGGTTCAAAGTGCTAACTCTTGCAGTCAACTACCAAACACTTTTTTTGGCGGTTTGACCAGTCAAATATGCTAAAATGGGTCAAAACAGCCAAAAGTCATCCCAAATGCCAAAAACCAAACATGCCCAATAAGATTTTCAATAATAACAACTAAGAACAAAATGCAATTGAGAAGAAGTCTATACAATTGAGCAGGTTGGAGTAAAAGAAAAGCTTGCTGTCAAAGAGGCAAAGCAGGGCTGGTAAACGGCCGCAGAGGATAACCGGTGTGGCCCAGACTTACTTCACGGTTAACTAGAAATGTCCCGCTCAACCTCTCTGGGTTTAAATCCATCCCTGCCTTTCCTCCATCAAACCCCATTTTCTCTCTATATATATCTTGTCTGTTTTCTACATAATTCCTGCCAATTTCAAGAAACTTAATCCCGGCCGCCCTGTCCTGGGATTGTAGCAAGCAATCGCAAGATTTTATTTTTTTTTTAATTAGATGATATTTTTGAATCTGCAGAAAACTCCCCAAATCTCCTCGAATTCTAGGTTATTTTTGCCTCATTAGGATTCAAGCAGTCCGTTGATTTATAATTTTTATTTTAATTTATTTTTGGGGTTTTGCGCCGGGGCTTTATTCGAGGTGGGCGCGAGCTTGATGAGTTTTGGAAGGGATGGTGAATAATCTGGAAGATGGGGAGAAAAACCCATCGATCGGAGGCAGCAGCGGCGCTACCAGGTCATGGGGCACCACATTTTCTAGTCAATCTGTTTCCACCGGCGGCAGTGTTGGGTCGCCGCCGTCTAGCCGGAGCGAGGCTGCCTTGGCCACTCCTGTCAGCAACGGCACTTTTGATCGCTCAGAAAACCTTGATGTTCACCGTGATGATGCCCGATCTCAACCCACTGCTGGGTCAGCCATTTCATTCTCCATTTTAGCTTATTGTAATTACCTATTCCAGGAATTTGTTTGCCATTGAAATTCTTTTTTGGTTAGTTCAAGTGTTGAACTTCGTAAATTGCTTGTTTTTTTTTGGAAATTCGATTATTTACTTCCCCCCTTCAAATTTTCCTGGGGTGCAGATGGAGGGTTATTGATATACATTTAAGATCACAACTTTTACTAATCTTCATAGTAGTTGGGCTAGTCGGCTTGAAACATACAAAGGTAGAAAAGCTTACATGTGTTTATGAGATTCTTTTGTGTGGGGGTTTTGAGTTTAGCTTTAGAACGTGGTGATATGTTTTTTTTGAAGACTAATAACTCTATTACAATGTAGTATTTGATCATACATTCTCAACCTATTAAAACTCGTAGAGTTACTGTCCATTCTGGGAATCGAACACGTGACCCCTTGTTTGGGAGAGCCAAAGCAGTGCCATTGGACTGCAAGGTCCTTGGCAACTTGGTGATATGTTGTTTGCCTTTCTTACATGTTGAAACACTACCTTCTATTTAGTATAGATACCCGGTGAATCTTTTTGTCCACTTGTGTTTCATGGTTTTAATTACACTACAACTTAGCATTATCCTTAACAATCTCAGAAAGAAGAAGAAAGGTCAGCGAGCAGCACCAGGTGGAGGCGATAAGAGTAGTAGAGGATTGCGCCAGTTTAGCATGAAAGGTATTTGCTGCTCAATTGTTTAAGTTTGTATCCATGAAACTAATTTTGATGAATAACTACAAGTTGTATAATGACTAATATTTTCTGGTTGCATTTGTCTAGTCTGCGAGAAAGTGGAAAGCAAAGGAAGAACCACATATAATGAGGTCCGATCACTACTTCACTCAATGTAAAACATTATCTGATGCATGTTGTTTCTATTGGAAAACGCTTAATGTGGATATCACTTTTGCTATCTAATACTCGATCCATAGGAATTTTGGGGCTCATTTTACATGATTTATGCACCCAATATTCCCATACTTTACTGCAATTTGCGAAAATAGAAGTAAGGTTGTGCACATCTTTCTTTCCAGATACTTTACATGTTAGACTTTCCTTCCAGTTGGTCCAACCTTTACTGCATTCATATCTTATCGAAATGTTGTTGACATTCTATGTCTTTTCATTATGTAATTTTACATCATTTTATCAATAGGGCTACAAGAGCGTGCATGATGTTATTCCTGTTTTGTGTGGCTTACTTATTGATTTTAAATTTCTTTGTTCTAAAAAACCTCTCAACTTCTTTGGGTAGAGACTATAGATATTATCTAAAACTCTCGAATATGAATGCAAAATCTGCATTTACAGTCCACATAAATTAACGCAAGTTTTCAAGTGGTGGGGAGGCTCAACCCGTGAGGATATCATTAAAAACACGAACAGATTTTGTTATATATGGATGAAAACCCAATCCATCAATGCTTGAAAAGCTGAAGAGGCATTCGTGAGTCTGGGCTGAAGAATGAGAAATTCAAAATGCTCGTGATCTGGTCGGAAGGCATTTTTTACGTCGTTTGGATCCATCCTCTTCTGACTGTATCCTGACTGCAAATCCAGTTTGGTAAACTACCTAGCACCATGCAATTAGTCGATGGCTGGAAATTGGGATAGGAAATTTTTCCTTTTGGAATTTGACATTGACTTCCCTGTAATCAACACAGAAATGGCCAGTTTTATCATGTCTAACCACTAGCACAACTGGGTAACAGGGATGAGAGATCTACTGTGAAGCTTTTCGGCACAATGATGTTGAATCTCAATGTTTGAGGAAAGTATATGTATGAACTAGGCCTGGATTTGCTCTTTGGTTCAAACCAAGTGGTTATTTGATTACACATATGACATGGAGGGAGTGGTTTAGGTTTCTGAAATAGGTCCACAAAGTCAGTGAAAAGATGGTCAATAGTTGGGTATTTAATTTAGAATGAAGTGACCTTGAAGAGTTTGGGCATGCAGTTTGCTCTCCATTCCATGTCATCTGGCTTGTAGGTGTGTAAATGCCATGATGAGGTCATTGAATTCCCATAATATTGCGCCTAAATTTGTGAGAGCAAGGGGGGGAGAGAAGAGATTGTTTTGACCGGCTAAGGTGCATGATAAGAAGGCGCAAGATCTGGATGTCAGATGCGTTTAAGGCGGGAATGACATGGTCGCAGCACTATCTCCTCAGTTCATCCATCACCAGAACAATTAAAAAGGGACTAAGAGTAGAATCATGGTGGCTGGTACAAACATGTCTTTTTTGAGTGCTATTGACTTAATTACTATGTAGTATCCGTTCATACTTTCTCTATTTAATGGCGCACAACGAGCCAATGCCTCTGTCTCTGCCCGGACTCAAACCTAGGTGAGCTTCCCCATGAATCTAGGGAGTGAGCTTCCTACCACTCATGCCAGAGGAGAAGTTCCATCATACTGCTCTGATATATGCTACTGGCACAACTCTCACCTTTCTGGGGACTTTGTGATATACTGATATACATTCTCTCCACAAATGCACACTATATGAAGACCTCTTTTCTTTTCTGACCCGTGTACTGGTCAATAACCTCCTTAGAAAATGGATTACCTTTGTAGAGAATTCCGCACACATGAATCCAAACTGGTTCTTGGATGTCTCGGTTTCATTTTTATTTCACATGTCTAGTGCAGTTCAATTAGTTTCCTTCTGATTATCCATCTGCCTGACAGGGGTAAATGATTTGTGCAGGTAGCAGATGAACTTGTAGCTGAATTTGCCGATTCTAACAATAGCTTTGCATCCCCAGACCAGGTTTCCTTATAGTTTGATGATCATATATTTCTCAACTCATATTTTCGTTTATATGTTTTTGATAAAAAAGAATAGTGAACCAGTGAGTGATTGATGCATAACAGCAACAATATGATGAGAAAAACATTCGACGCCGCGTTTATGATGCTCTGAATGTTCTCATGGCAATGGATATTATTTCGAAAGATAAAAAGGATATCCAGTGGAAGGGTCTACCGCGAGCAAGCATAAAGGATATTGAACAGCTAAAGGTGTTTAAGCTTTACTTTGTTGGGTCAAATTTTGGATAAATTCTATAGGAAAAGATTGATTATTCAATGATGTAAAATTGTAAATCATTGCGGAGGATGGCATTATTATTTGCAGACAGAGTGTCTTGGATTGAAAAACAAGATTGAAAAGAAAGCGGCGTATTTAGAAGAACTTGAGGAACATGTATGATTCTTTTCTTGCTTGTTGCTTTTATATCCTCAATAAATTGTTAAAAAGTTCATTTATTTACTTATATATGTGTAACCGCCTAAGGGGTGGTGACATCATCAACTATCTCTTTCCTTTTCTTGAGGTTTTTAAATTTTCTTACGCCCGAGTTTCTTTTGCAAAAGTACACAGGTCTTCAAAACCTCATAAAACGCAACGAACAGTTGTATGGCTCTGGAAATACTCCGACTGGTGGCGTGGCTTTACCCTTTATATTGGTTCAGGTAAAAAGACTTGATGATTTCTTATCTACTGTAATACATTGAAATGGACCATAAAGGTCCATTGCCAAGAGTTGCTGATTTTCCATTCCTCTAAAAACATAATGCTTTTTTCCCCTCATTTTCACGCATTTCCGTTGTGGTTAAATCTAATAATTGTCTCATCATTTTCTTTTGCGTGCGCAAACTGCAGACGCGCCCTCATGCAACGGTTGAAGTGGAAATATCAGAAGACATGCAACTGGTGCACTTTGATTTCAACAGGTAATATAAAAATACTGCCCAAGATTTGTGTTTCTTCTGTCAGGCATGCATTCTATTGTATTCTTCTTGAAAGCTGAACCCGAATATTTTTTAATACCAGAACTCGATATTAAGCAAATTGTACGTATTTTACCCCTCACCCCCATTGCAGCACTCCATTTGAGCTCCATGATGACAAATATGTCCTCAAGGAGATGCAATTCTGCGAAAGACCCGTGCCATGTGCCAATGGATGGGAAGGTTCCAGCAACCACGACGCCTTCCAAACTCGTACCCCCATGCAAAATATGTCTGGTAGGCCATCTTCTTCTTCTCTCCCTGGGATACTTAAGCCATGCACCGCCAAGCATGAGCCCCC